GGGCATAGAATTATACCCGCAAATTTGTCCAGCGGGCTAATAATATAACAGATAGCTGCATGGGAGCTGAATCAGCGTGCAGTAGCGAAGGAAGAGCTGAAAGATAGTGCGAAGCCATGTGCTTTAAAGTCTGTCTACGCACCTCTATAAATTATCATGGATGCCCGGATATTGACCGAAAGAGTGCCATTGTGAAACTGCAAACTGCTGAAGCGAGGTTCTGTCGAAGGCCTGTTCGTGCATTTCTTGATGGCGTCACTAGTGAAGTGCTTTTTCACTAGATCAAGAGACTACGGTTGCGGTAGTTTTGGTACATGACCAGTATGCTCTAGGAAAAACTTCTAAACCAATTTTTTTCTGCGAAGCTACATTGTACGTAGCCAAGGGGCAGACTTGTTACCCGATGGCTGTAGAATTTTGAACTTCTGGCATTAGTGAACCAACCAAAGTTGCCGACCAAAGTTGTCAACCTCTGTAATTTTAAAGGAACGGTAATTTAAATGAGCGAATAATCTTGATATATATCACTGCACTAGGCCGCATTAAACTACTTGTAGCACAATTTGCATTTGCTGTTCTAAGTATTTTGTCTATGAAATTTTTGGCTTGATAGAAACGTTTATTTGTTTTTATAAGTTTAGCGGCAGATAGTGCAACATTTACAAGAACTGGAGGAAATGAAAGCAGCCTACAGTCAGCATCTGGTGAGAATGCAGAAAGTAGAAGAGCAGAAGAATGCACTGAGATTGAAACCTAAAGACATTGAGTTCCCAGGTACGGTTAATGCAGCGCATCGGGAGAATGCTTGATTTGCGATTGATGCTTGAAACGATTTTTTTGATTTCCAAGATATTCAATACTGATTCGTTTTCAGACATCCGGCGCTTATTTTATTGTCAGCTCGAATAAAGTTTCACACATTTTCAAATGAAGGTTGGTCATTTTACACAACAAGGTGCTACTGAGGGTTGTGAGGTTGAAGTATCATTTTTTGTGAAAGTCTTGTCTGTTTTGTTTGTGTTCGTTGCCCCTACGGATTGCGAGTGTTCCTTCTATCGGCATGCACCGATCTGCGGTACGATGCTCATATGAAGATGGTTGATCTTGTGACCTACGATATTGAGGTTTCGATGAACTTTGAGTTAACTGCTTTCAGTGGCTTTCCTACCTTAACCATCCATATTTGCTTTGCCGGTCAGTTATTTTATCGAAGTATACTGACCGTATGGCGATATCTTTTTTTTTCGTTCCAGGTCAACTTTGTTTGCTATTGGCATGACGAAAAATTTGACGAAGAGGGTGTTGCTTATGAGTTCCACCAGCGTTTTTGCCTCCAGTGTTCAGCTGGATCCGTTGTCAATCGATTGAATGATAATGTATCTGTCGATAGAAAGCCGTTCTGGCTTGTCCTGCATTTGATCAAGATGCGCTGTGCAATTTTTATAGGCATATTTACTTAATAGTTTTACATTCCAGAAAACGTCATTTCCTTCTTCTTGTTTCTTAGTAACACTGATACATTCTTTCTTCCCAACGGTTCTTTTAAAACAAAGTTCGAAGAAACTACCGCCGTGGGAAACACTGTAAAAAAAGTTCATACACAGCAGTAAATCGCATATGGTCTAGGTTTTGACTGGATGGGCTACATAAGACAGAATCACTTGACATATATTTTAGTGTTGGGTTGACGCGCAGGGGTACAGCTAGGTTGAACCAATCAGATATTTCTTGCTTATTGATCATTTGCTTTTAGAGTATCATGGACTTCTTCATTGCAGCCCAGATTTCTGTCACTTGGCAATCGCTTAATGACTTTGGTATTTCAAAGCATTTAAAGTGGATTTTTGATATTTTGAACATTTACAGGTCAGTTTGTTTATGGTGTTATCCATTGTTTCGGTTGACGGACTTCTAATATAGACCGTTCGGAACTTTCTGCTAATATTACAATGGGCCTTGCTACGTTGAAGTCAGAGCAATAACTTGTAGTGATCTGATGGTTTAGAGACCTTGATGCTATTCCTCACTTATGACATTGTCAACCTGTCGCTGGTTGTCTGTTTTCTTTTTGGGAGTGCCATTTAGTTATCACTTTGAGGACTGTGAGATGCAACCGGCTAATATAATGAAATCCGTAGGAGAAACGAAAGTTACACTGCTTCACACTTGTTTTTCGTTTACAGTGGGTTCTTCTAAGAAGTCATTGCAGTGACCGGGTATGCAAATTTTGATGTAATTTATGACTTCTGGGCTTTTAGGCTTGGGACTCAGCTATTACTTCAAAAATCAAATATATTGCAGAGAGCAGCTTGAAGAAGATCAAAAACTAGGGTACAAGTTCCTGAATTAGTTAAATTCTCTGAATGTACGCATTACTTTAAGGTCAGTTAGCAGACTGAGATACCTGCTAATGAAGGAGAATGATTCGATTCAGCTGGACTCTTCAGTGGAAATCGTTTACCTGACTAGTTCGATATGTAACTTCTGATGTTGGTTGAACATTGCGATTCAGTATGCGAAGAGGTACAGCAACACAAAAAGCTTGCATGCAACCAGCGACTTTCGACTAGACTATAGATGCTGGCGATAGCATAAAGTCCGATAGAGCGTTACTTGTCGTCGCATATGACATCAGCGGGATGAATTGAAAGCTATGATGATTCAAACAATGGATAATACATTACAGAGTCTGCGGCCTATGAATTTTCAAGACAAATGAACCTCTGTACGTCCTTTAAAACTTTGATTATAGTGGATTATAGACAACTGTAAAGGGTAGCGTCTTTACGACGTGGATGAGACAAGTGATGGAAACAAGCAGTGCTAGAGCAAGAAATATCTGATTAGTGTGAATTTGTCAAACCAAATTTGTTTCGCTTTGACGTATCACCGTAACGATTTGAATCAAAAGTTTTGACTGATAAGGTCTGAAAGGTTCATTTCAAACCTGCCTTTTTTGCACTTTTCTGCTGTGTGCATGAAAAATTTTTTTTCTGGATCCTTATATAGTGGAAAGCTAAATATTTTGAACTTTTGTACCGTAGAAACAATGCTTTAAGTTTGTAGCCAAACCGTAATTAATCTTGAATTGACACTAATGAAACGCTTTGATATCCTGAATGAACGAATTGCGATCTTCAGGGGATGCAGTTAGGTGCTGAATAGATCTCAGCAAAGAAGAATAGGAGTGGTAGCAATCCTAACTACGTCTGACAAAATCACCATCGCCTTGTTTCCGTTATAGAGTGTTTTCGTCGATTAAGATATGTAAATGTTTACTGTTCTTGTATAGCATGATTACTTGTCATGTTTCTTAGAGGACACTTAGAGACACAACGGCCGTCTGACCCACTACCAAGATGTTTTCTTATGTCAGGGTGAAGGTTTTGTGTGACAGGGCAAATTGATTACTCAGCACCGTTTTTGTGCTGGGAGCGACCCACAAGCTAGATGTGGGACTGCTCTCAACGATCTTTTGGACTTGTATAGTTCGCGCCTTGAGCAGTTATCTTTGTGTAACGTACCGGTTTTAAGATCGATTTTGAACGATCGAAACGCAGCGAAGTCCTTCGACGAATGTATACGTTGTTCGACATACTCGTACTGTGTACTTTGTGCATCGGCTCTTGCGTGATTTGGTGGCCAGCGTCACGACGGACGTCGTGTACGCCCTACTCCTGAACGC